GTGCAAGTGTCTGCATAAAGGAGATGAGAATGTTTTATCTAAAGCATTTGTCGATTATTCTCATTTCATTACAAGACAATATTTTCCCCTTTTCTGTCAACCATGCATTCTTTTGCCAATTAGAAAGTTATTGTTAACAGATAAAGACATGAACTTGCATACAGCACACCAAAAAAAAAATGCTCTGGCAATAAGAGTTATTTTCTTTTGCATTCTATTCCCTTCATTCTGTATTTCAATTCCAGTAATTCCAAACCTTTTTATAATTGAAGAAACAAGGCTTGAAGATTCTACATAAACATCACAGGTTTGATTTTTTTTAATCAGCTCTTAATAAATGAGATATTTGAATGAGAAAATAATGTTGACAAATATGTGACCTACTTCAAATAACACTTTGCTATGGTCACAAAAGGGAACATTCTTGCAGCAGAATAAAATGTTACTGTATCTAGGATTGCAACACAGCCATGGATTCTAGACCAGACCTCCAAAACAAGTTTCTAACTCTAATATGCTGAATTTCCTAATTTTCTCAAAAAATAAAAAAACACCCAAACCTGTAAGCTTTAAGAGTAGGACTGCTTTTGCTTCAGAAATAGGGCTTGTGAAACAGACGAATTTCATCTGATACTGTAAAGAAAGATCTGAAGGCACTTCTAGAAGAAATCTAAGGTGTGAATCAAATATCACTTTTTCATTGTAGAAGAGAAAAAATTATAGCCCACGTACTAAAGATTCAATTCTTGAATTGTACATTTCAGGTTGTTTTAAGGAAAAATGTAGCCTTCTTAAATGAATGAAATGTTTCTCATGGTCAGAAAATAAGGCATGTAAAAAGAGTAAGAGCCCACAGTGGATGCAGACTTTCTAACTAAGAGATAAACTCAGTAAATACTTTTCAGTACCACTGAAAGATGAGGAAAAAATGGTACGCTCTTTTACAATGAATGGTTTACAGAACTTTTTGAAAATTTAAAAGACTTTCATGGACTGAAAATGAAGATTGTAATGAGATCACCTTCAGACATTTTTTGACATTTTTGCTGCATACATACATCTGAGTACAGACCTATTTTGTGATCTGAAACAGAACAAGAATGTCTGAAGAGCTGTCGTTTTAATTTCACGGCCCAATTATGCTCGGGAAAAGAAGTTATATGGGTTAGAGAAAGATAATTATTCTTACTGGTCAAGCAAAAACGAGAAAGAAAATCATCCAGAGTTACAGTTTCAGCTGCAGGTGTTGATTGTGCCAAGCTGATATTACCAAGATAGGCAAAATTTTGTCACCTTTAAGATTTACAATTTCAAGAGATCCTGAGGGATGCATATAACAAGGTGTGGAGCTATGTTAGAGAGGTATCTCCCTGAAAGCCCAGGCTGCCCTCCTCTGGAGTTAATTATCTTGCACATCTAGTGGTCTTGGTTCATGGTCAAGTTACATGAGGAATATCTCACAAACAAAACAATCACCTGACTATAAGATATTTAATTTTTCATTTGTGTTATCTTACAGAACACCTACTAAACATGTATTCAGATGATCAAGAAAATTACTCACACCTTGGTAGGACAGAGTTGCATAGAGTAAAGACTTCTCTGTGCAATGGAGTAGTCTCACTTTTAGTATAGTAACTTTCTATACGAGTATATGTAGCAGCTGACATTACTGATATGCACTCCAACTTGAGATGAAAAGCAGTGCTCTAAAATCATAATCATTCATTCTGAATTCAAGAATGCTTCTATGAAGTCAATGTTCTTGGTGCAGATAAAGCTGTGACAACAGGTCACGCCAAAGCTGCATTCACATAGTTTGCCTTGCACATACTGCAATGAGAGAAGAGTTTCAATTAACTTGTTGCAGGTTCTTCCACCAGCCAAAGTTCAAAACATCAGAACTTTATCCTTATATCAGGCAACCTGATATTAAGGTATCTCCTGCCATCCATGCTTGCAACATATGTAGTTTTGTTTACTCTTCAAGGCCAGTTGATGCCAAAGCTAAGGCACATACTTATCATTATATGTGGCCTGTTCTCCAACTAATTAATTAGAAAATGTCATATGCTGTCACTCAGATAATATAGTGCTGTGGTAGAGTTTAGTGATCTTCTATGTGATAGAAATATACTTAAAAATTGGGATCTCTGTTTCAAATCAGGGGATGTAGGGAATTAGCAATCACCAACAGTAAAATTGCAATCACCAAACACAAAAAGGAATTTTCTCTAAGCTATCAGTAGTTACAAGAGTATGATTCTTTCGGTAGCGGATTACTGAGGTGGAGGTAAAATTATAAAGATTTTAGAAATAGAATAATTATTCTGTTGTATTCATCTCTCATTTTTATCTGAATGTTAATGATCATTACAAGTTTTCTGAAGAAAACATAAAAAGCACTGAAACTGAGTAGGGAAATACTAATGCCTTATTTAGATGTCAGTTCCTGATTTAGAAGTCCTGTAAAAAGCATTGTGATTGTTTCAAGGAAGGGAACAGAAAACCACTAGCTGCAGTTACTATGAAAATAGGTTCCTTCTGTATACTGTTTCTGGTCAGGCAGAAGACGCTTGACATCAGTATGCATGATAAAATAATTCACTGTTTTTTGCTGCTGATGTTTTTTTAAAAAAAAATAAAACAGGATACACAGGAATATAATATAGGAGAAAACACTCAAATGTGCACAAATCCTCAATTATTATTAAAGAAAATACTCTTTTAATGTGCAAATGTTCCACAAATTTTCAGAACAAATTTTCAGAACAAATCGGTAATTCAGAAAATTATAATCAAGGCATATGATGAACTGTAATTGTTGTAAGTGTAGATCTGGAAAGGGAAGAAGAACCTTTCAGAGAAACAACAGCTAGCTAAAGCAGGAAAAAGCTGTAGCAAAATACAGAACACTGCTTTTACTGCTCCTTGCTGACAATTATTATTCAAAGTTCAGTTTTTAACAGCCTAGGTAAGAGACAAGCATCAAAGACTTTTCCATGAGAGACTATTTTGATCTGTTCTTTCCAGATTTTGTTATTCTCTTTCCACATTAGTACTTCTTGTCTCTTGCAGAATTACAGTGCATCATCTATCATTAAGTAGTCGAAAGGAATTAAGTGAGCAAAATAAAGAGTTGATTTTTTTCATTCAGGCTAAGATTGTGTCTAATCTGTTGTCCTATATTATTCTAAGATACCAGCTGAGAATGGAGGGTGGAAATTAATTTTACTATAATTATTTCATTTACTGATTGTAAATTAATGATTTACTGATGGTAAAACATACTCTTGAAAAACTTGGAAGGACGATCTGAACTTCAGACATTTTGCCTTTGTTATTTTTTCTTAGCTTTCTCGGCAGAGATAAGAGAAAAGTCAGTTTTCACTCAATCCATAAATCAAGTCATCCACAAATTAGAAACATTTAGTTCTAATAAGCATGAGATTATAGTTCCAACTTCAGACACAGTTAAATGCAAAAAATTAGAAGTTACTGAGTGTAGCCCGTTGTAAATTTAACCAAAGAAGACAAAAGTAAAGTGAATCCAGAATCTATTAAGAACTTAACAAGAACTGTGCAACAGCAGAAATCTGGAGAAGGTAACATGTAACGTCAATGAATGTTCGTTCTGTTTTCTTATTTTTGCTTTTAAACATCAAGAAGTATTTAGCATCATTTGACTCCCCAGAATAAGATTGTGATCACTGAAGAGAATTTATAGTAGATAAAACCCAACAACAATAAAAAACACACAAAGCCCTAAAGAATCAAAATATCCCAGATAAGTAAAAGATACCATTTGAATTAATTATTTCTAGTTAAGATTGAAAAGATTTGCTATATCCATAGCATCCAATATAAATACAATCTTCTAGTTTCAAAGATAATTTTGACTATATTATATTATAGTCCACAAAACCAATATGAATAATTCCTGATTATTTAAACTCTTTCTTTATCAAAGCAGATAGAATTTCTCACTCTTATTTCACAACAGTTCTCTAACAATATAGTTTTCCTTTTATCTAGCTATGAAATGAAGTATTCTTTTAAATCATTGAAAAGCTACGATTTTGAGAATTTTCAAATCCTATCAACAAGGAATGTAGAGGATTAATCTAATTTCAAGATTAATCCTACAGAGGCCAATTGATATGCTTGCACTGAATTTCAACATTTGTATTATTTTTTATTTTGCATTAATCTACTTCTATTTATATCCTAAATACCCTATCTCTTTACAATCTGCAGATCCCATAAACTAGCTATTAAAGATATTTGTTTCAATACATCAGCTTTCCCAAATACCATACTCTTCTGCTACAAGTTTGGCTCAAATAAAGCTACTCGCATATGAAATTTGAAGGGACAAAACTAAATGCTTGGGTTACCAACAACTTTCCACTCCTGAAGTTTTGATCTATGAAAAAGAAAATATATTTTTTAAAGCATTTTCATGATGTAAATCTCTATTTACAGATAAAACCTTCACCATTATGATGACGCTATCACTCTGTTCAACTCTTACCATCTGAGTAAATACACTGAAGTTTTGCTTTAATGAATCCCATTAGTACTGCAGAAACAGTCTCAGGTTTCCTAGAAATGTCCCCTTCCTCATCTTTACTGGTGATTGCATAATGGCTTCTAATTACATTTTTTCAACTTAAAATTCTTATTAACTTATACTGACCACAAAATGATGAAAATAGATAGCTGCAATACCTAAATTCCAGGCAAGTTTGTAAAAAAAAAAAGTTGATTTACTTAAAGTATAACATTCGGGGGGGAGGAAAGCATGTTTTAATAATATTGGTCATAAAATATCAGAGCCCTTTGTGAAGCAGCACGAAAAAATCAGGAATAATGTTTTGTATTTATGATAAATGTATTTCAGTATCAGAGACAACAGCAATTCCAACTTAAAGCCAAAGACCTGTGGTTTTATAAAGCTTTGTTGACAGGCAAAGTAAAGTGTGGTTTTTTTTCTATACCTGGAAGTTCTTTCTCTTCAAGACTGTATTCCAGAGGTCCAAAGGAATAATTAGCTGGACTGATTGCAGGAGTAGAAATGAAACTTGCACAGCCAATGGATGAGTTGATTTCAAAATAATTGTGGCTGTGATTCATTCGGTGAAATTCCAGGGAAGATACTATGGATGTACGTTGCTTGGGCTACAAGAAAAATAAAAGTTTGGCATGAAAAATAGAAACGTTTTGTATCATTTTCATTTACCATTTAATAAATCTACCTAGGGTTTCTCTCTTTTTACTGTTTTTATTTGGCTCAAAGGCTGTACTAGTAAAAATCATTGCATGTGATAAACTGTGTAGAGATAATTTCCTTCCAAAATTTCAATTAATCCTTATTAGTGAAAATGCATGTCTTGATTCTAATCAATTTAATTCAACATAAAGTAGGCTTTTATGTTCTTGCATATAATAATTGCAATCATCTTTTGATAAGAAAGGGAACTCTTCACCAGCTGCATTGCTGGGTACATCTTGGAAAACAATTAGCCTGCTGATGTCTGTATAATGAAATTTACTAAATAATACCAAGCACTCATCAGTCCAAAACAACCCTCTGCTGTTTAATCCATTTATGAATATGCCTGAAATATTCAAAGACTGAAATGTCTAAAAGCTTAGGGGAACGGTGTCAGCCTCAAAAACAAACACAAAAATCAAACTTTCTTCATGTTTTCATGGAACAGTGTGAAAACTTTGTACTACCTTATGTCAAACATTTACTTTTGAAGTGAACTTCTGAACAGACCCCACTTAATGGTTTGCCTTTGGATTGCAGAGTAGCTTCAGAGCATGAGAAACTCATTTCTTTTGGGTGGATCTACACCATAAGGTGTAGAAATTAAATCTATATAGTGTCATCAGCAACAACTTTTTCATTACCCAGTCCTGTTCTCGTCCCACTGCACCACTGATTAATATAGACATAACCCTAATGCTTGATGTCATGGGTTATAAGCCACAGACCACTGCTGTTTTGCAATGTCATGCTAAATAGTCTGTTGCAGCACTCATCTAGCTTCATACACAAAATATCCTGACCCCACAATGCTCCTTGCCACATCAAGACCAATGACCTGAAACATAAAACATCTCCAAAAGAGAGGAGGCCCTGCATCCAGGTTGACTGCTGACTGTATATTTATTTCACAACAGCAAGAAACTTTTCAGGAACTGCTGCTTTAAATAATTAATGCTGGAAAAAGTAAATAGAAAAAAAAGAGAGAAAAAGGTGCTTTATCTCTTCTTATTCTGGCATGTCAAGCTTAACAGGTCAGAGTATTTGTAAAGGTCAAGAATTTTATACTTATTAGTGTCAAGACCAAATTATTGTCTTTGAGAGCACTAAGATCTTCCTTGGACCATGAAGCTATTCACCATGCCTTACTTAGAACATGTTAAAATACAGTCAACCCCAGTGAAGTAATTTTCAATTTTTTTGGTGGTCTATTTATTATTTAGGTTACAAGTCCTGCAATGTTTGTGTTCCAAATACCAAACCAGACTGTTTTCGGTAAAAATTCACTCTTTCTATAGGAACGTCAGAAAAAAAAAATCAACCAAACAAACAGACTTAGGTTTGTATCACGGTGATTATTTCCTAAAGTTGTGTTGGGCACCATGAGAATTAACTGTGTCCAGTTAAAACTGAGAAAAATTGCAAAGGAAACTTTGGGCATTCATCTGGAACTCATCTATGGTCTATTGAGGGGATTTACTTTCTTTAATAATTAAAACCAGTTTCTGCTTTGAAAGGCTGACTCCTAGGTTTAGTAATTTCATGGGAGAGTTCAATGAACAGGGACAGACTCCAATATCAAACAGTCTGGTTGAAAGTCATTGTTTGGGACCTGAGCCAAAAAAACTCCCTGATCAAACCAAAACCATTCATGAGTATTAATTAAACCTAAATGGCACACTTTTGCTAGACAACAGATTCATGAATGACCTAATTATTTCTAAACCTGAAAAAGACATCCAGTCATTTAGAAGCATGTTTCTGGCCCTTTCCCAAGCAACGGTGTCTTTGCAGATTTGCAGGATTTAACTCCTGAGATGAAAAGGTGCCTCTTCAATTAACATGATGTGTCATATTCTTCATTATTCTTTAGTTGAGACAGTTTCTACTTAAATGGGCACTTAGCATGGTCCAGTTCTGTTTCCCAAAGCAGTTTCAAAAGCAACTGCTCTGGCCTTTGTCTAGTCAGGTCTCCATCCACTGCTTTGACTGTGTGCCCCTTTCTTGAAGTCAGAAGCATCTGATACCCCATTTGGCCTTTTACCATCTTAAAGTTGATCAGTTGTTTGAATACACCTAAGTGTGGTATTACAAGCTCTACATATTACAAGTATTACATACTCTAATATCTTCTAGAAGTTTCACAAAAAAACATCTGTGAGGTCTTGATGGATGAAGGGAGGAGAGGAAGTAGGTAAGCAAACTAACAAAAAAAACGCCAAATTGTTCTGAAGCTTCTTTTACAGATCAGTTTAGTTTACAAGTACTTACAGATTCTAGAAGTGTGTCTGTCAACAAATAACTATTATTGCTCTGGAGACATGGGTTAGTGATAAAAAAATAATTCTAGAGTGATTTTCAAAGACAATTATGGAAGCTAGAAATATATTTTATGTTTGTTGTGTTAAAATGCAACCATCTGAGGACCTGGGTGATACAAAATAGCTTCTGTATGATTTGGGGCTTGGGCATTATTATTATTAATTCAGAGAAACATTTTTCAGTTTAATATGTCTTTCCAATCTAAGGATTCTGAATAGAACCTCACTCAGCCTCTACTGCTCTACAGCATTATCCTTCTGCTATATTGTTTGGAGTTAACAAGGTCTGTCTGTTAACATGTCCCAATAATTTTCCTACGTAAGTACAGAGGAATCTAGCATCTGAACTTTTATAGCTAACTAGAGGAGTCTTTTGCACTTTTGCTGGGTCCTGTAAAATATTATGCTGTTAAAAGTACACTAATTGTTCACTAATATATGGTAAGAGAGACTCAGTAAACCAGCATGTGTTGATTGCATCTCTCTGCTGTTATTTCTCTGAAGTACCATTTGCACAAAAAAATATAGCAGAAATGTAGGATTAAATTCCATTCCAGATTTGGATAACTGAATTTACAGCATAGATATATACATCTACACTAGGTATTTAAGCTCCTGTAACAGTCAGTTAAGATCTAGTTAATAAAATGAAGAGTCCAGCGAACACTTTGGCTCACCACAGCCACCTCGGTATTAAATCACTTTTCTTAATGCAGGTATCGACCATCAGTGCAGATTCCCTACGACATCCCACCTAGCTCACATTTAGACATACTCTAGAAACCTTACTTCCTTTTTGAGAATCTGAAGTAAAACTCCAGTCTTACCAGCAGAAGCCTTCGTTTCATGGATTGCCTCTGCCAAAGCCACCCTTTAACTATATTTACCAAGAACTCCCGAGATAGGTTCTGAAAAATTCTAAGATTATTTACTATATGGAATACCATAACCTAGTCAGGGGTCAAGATCTCCTAGTGGAGATTGTACAAACACAAAACTCTGTCCCAAAGAGGCGATGCTTAATTTATTCTTTACAGCCTGCTTTGTCTGTCATTACATGTCTTCTCTGTACTACTCAAAAGGTCTGGACATGCTTAGATAACCCTTGTGAAACTGTAGGATACTTATGGTTTAACTTCACCCCAATATGTATGCTACATAGCTGCATGCAAATTTGTCCTTAAGTAGATTTGTATTCATTACATTCGTGTGTTTAATTTACTTGTTATGTTTAAATCTCTTTAATGACTCAAGTTTACTTTTAAGACTTTTCTTCACAACTATTACTTCAATTGTCATAATACCAACCTAGAAAACCCTAGACTATCCTAAACTATCTTTAAAGGTCTTGCAAGAACAAGACTTAAATAACTTTCAAATCAGGTCTAACAAGAAGAATATTTTTGTGTTTTATCTGTAGTGAACATATATCAATGAAAGATACCACTTTGAAACTGTAAAAACAGGAAAGGCATCCAAATACTAATTAAAAAGACAAGTAAGGATTTAATGCTTCCATGAATGACATTTGCATGCAAATTCTGTAATGCTACCATGACTGGCATGGAACACTATGAGCATGGAAGAGATCATTCAAATATTTTTTACAACATTTACCAGAACAAGTAGGGCAAAATTCCTTTCTCAATTTGATAACAAAATATTTCTCCAGCTTTGATGTACTCTACAGGCTTGTGACTTTGTCTTCTTTTATCTTTGGGATTTGCGCACATAGCACCATCATAGTCTTTAAAAAATTGATTTTCACAACAGTCTGTACTATGGTAAAGCTATTTGACCCATTTTACAGATGCTAAACTAAGGTATAGAGCTTTCCCAGGGGACAAATGTGTGGTTTATTAAACCACTGAGAATGAATGAGCCTAAGGAAATCTGCATTTGGCAAATCCTACCAAATTCCAGCTGCCCTACATAACGTAAAAACTGGTTTCAGTTGCATTATACCATGCAGAAAATGTATGACAGAGAACCGAACCCACATTCTCAAATTCTTGCTAGCACATAAAATATAGACTTATCAAAACACGCAAGCCTCTTCCTCTAGGCTCATCTCACATATATAATACAGTATAAGCGTAGTCATGTGGCCATATAAATCTCGCATTTTGGTACCTGCCCAGATGATTCCATTCTTTCCATTCTCTATTTAGCTCACTCCTACTTCAGAAATTTTCCATTCACCAGCTTTTTTCCTTCTAAAATCCCATTCTCTTTCTGTGCTCTCATTTCCCCTTTCATAGGGTCACAGAATGGTTTGAGTTGAAAGGGGTCTTTGAAGGCCATATGTCCAATCTTACCTTGAACACTTCCAGGGTTGGGGCATCCACAACCTCTGTGGGCACCTCTCTTTTTCTGTTTTCTCCTATCTATTGTGACATTCCTTCCATAACTACCTATGTTACTCTAAAATACCCTTCACAGTATCCTTGCTGATTCCAGTTCTACTTGGTCTTCCAAAACTTGGTTCTCTGCTTTCTCTGTTGTTTCGTCATCAAGGTCCCTCAAACTCCCAAATGTCCCTATCTCATACTGACCTTATCAGTCACTATATCCCTCTTACTGTC